ATTTTCTGCCTTCCACCCAATGACTGCTGGAATAGGCTCCACCCCACCCTGTGGCCCAGGAGGATAAGCGGCATAGATAATAGGTGTGTGTGTTTGTGTGTGAGAGAAAGAGAAATGTGGCATAATATATTAAATTCAGCAAATTAACTGTAAGTGTGCATTAAAATATGTAGAAGTGTGTCTGTAGAAAATATTTACCAGGGTTGTTCTTGCATGTGATGGAGCGTGTGTGTGTGTGTATATATATATATATATATATATATATATATATATGTATATATATAAAGCTATGGGTTTCACTCCCAGTAGTTTTTGCTTTTGATCCGCTGCAACACTAGAGACTGGTATCAATTCACACTACACATTCTTTTCCATACGGGAAATAATAAAAATAATTTAAACCATTTCTGACTCGATACTCCAGCAGACGTACGTCCAGGCACTAAACTCTAATCTCCATGGTTAGTCTAGCTTTATATCCTTTGATATTCCTGTTTCAGACTGGCTGGTATTTTTGCGTAAAAAGCTGCCAGTGCTTTATGCTACAATAACAGCTTTCATTCCGAAGGGAGCAGAAACTAACAGAGTATAGATTCCAGTTTCAATAATGTGGAATATAATAACTTAATCTCACTGTTACCCACAGCTCTCCAGCTGTTTTAGCAGATACCTGCGGGTCTATGTGATATAGTACAATTAGTTAAATCTACTCGGCTAAATGACCAGACTGGCCATAGCAGCAGTGGCCATTACAGCAAACTCTACCACCGTACATTCTTAAAAAACAAAGGCTCATAATGGTTCTTGGCCTGGATGTACAGTTTACATTATGTGGAGGTCCATTAAACTTTTAAAATGTTCTTCACACTTTTCTGAAAGGTTCTTATGGGAACCGAGAGTGGTTCCTCTATGGCACTGCTCTTAAGAAAGCCATGTGGCACAGCCAAATGACCAGAGTGAGCATAGTTAAAGTAAACCCCAGCTTCAGACATGATTAATGGATCTGTAGTACTAGAAAAAGACTTTCATTGGTGTTTAACCCTCATATTCTGTAGTGTTTCTAAAAAAATGGTTATTTTAAGAACGATCTATTAAAAAAGTTCCCTAGGGAACCAAAAGTGGTTCTTCCATGGCATCACTCCAAAGAACCCCTTCTGGCAACTTTAGACTGCACTTCATATATTATATGACCCCTATATATGACCCTGCAATAACTCAATATAAAGTCACTTTGGTGGACGTATTGGAAAATGTACACAATGTTTTTGATCTCCTTCTATCTATTCCCTGTGGTCATCTATTCCCATGGTCCAGTCTGGTTTCTCTGGTTTCTTGCCCATCATATTCAGCAGCATTAGGATGCCAGCTGCTGAGGCTGGAAATGGGGGTTTATACCGCTTCAAGGAAATTCCAAAATTCTGTTTGTGGCTTGGCACACGATGGCACATAAATTCAGTCGTCATATTCTCACGAACCAAAAAATGACAATCTGAATTGCTTCTCCATCAGCGTTCACTTTGCAGCGCTTTCTACCTCATTCCTTCTCTGTTCTCCTCCCCGTCGAATCCAGAAGACCTGAGTTATACGAAAATAGCGCCACTCCTGCCAGCAACCTGACTTTTAACTCGATTGTGCCAGTGTGGGGCTTAAGCGAGCCGCTTTTAAGTGAGTGGAGGTGATTAACCGCGGCTTGTTTTCAGGTCACATTCCAATTTTAGCGTAAATCCATCCCATGAAAAAGATTTCATGTAGCTGGGAGTTGTCTTTGTGATTCGGGAAAAATTGCTGCTTTATTGTCTTTTTTGGATTGGGATCTTTCGGAATATCATTATTCTTCAATATGAAGCTGCATTCATTTTCAAAGCACCATGTCTGTGTTTAGTGGCTGAACGCTGACAGCAGAAACAGGCCTGTTTGAATTCAATACAGGCTCAAAGTGAGTTATGCTATAATCTAAGGCTCTTTGTGCTCAATTACGCTGCAATCTGATCACAAGTAGAGTGAGGGTGGGTAATATAACTATATGTAACTTTTATTGCAATAAATTACACGATGATTTGCTTTTCTGAGTCTATCATGGTATCATCAGTACATCTAGAAGAGTAAACAACTTAGTTCATCATAAAAAAGACAAGACAGACCCAGCGAACAACAACAACTACGGGTGTTTAAACTACATAGTACCTGCAGGTATCTGATTGGATGTCAGTCCATTACGACGTCGTCTTATTTTACTAATTTAACTTAGTTCTTTTCCAACTTTATCTCAGTTTTCTGAAAACCTACATATCATGATAGATATTGTGTATCGTGAAAAAAAGTATCGTGATGTTGCTGTAATCGCCCACCGGTGAGGCAGTGAGGTGAATAAAGGCATGTTATGTCTACCTTGAAAATCAGTCTTGAAAGGCAAAGAGAGAAACAACGGCCACATTGAGAGCAGATCTGCTCAGAAGTGACGTGACGGCTCACCGTAAGTGCTACCAAGTGGCCTGTTTTGATAGCATGTGGAACTTATTCGCCAAATTCCACCAGATACTTATTCGCTTACTTTGGTCTAAGCAGGAAAGTCTGTTTTACGACCAAACTGCATAACGTTAAACACAAGCCATGTGTGGTACGATTCCAGTTACGGTCACCTGGGGCCAGGTATCCATTGCACCCCTCTTTGGATCTGCCCAGTGAGTGTACTTCTCTCGAGAAATGAAAATAGTGATTGGTGCTACACTGTTATTGACTCACAAGCATATTGGCTTTCATCGGAAATTATACTGCAGGCTATTGCTTCCTCTTTTAGATTCCGTCCGATATGATTATCAGTTAGAGGTGGAGAGAACTGTTTTTAGAAAAGAAAAAGAGAAAAAAAAACACTAAACATATAAGGTCTGTTAATATACATTATAATAACAGTACAAAGGCGACCTGCACTGCTTGCCAAGAAATGATGTTTGCATTGGAAGAGGTGATTTGGAAAATAACATGCTTCATTCATCAGAAGGCTGCTTTGAGCTTTTTTCAAGCACCCAATGGCACAAAGAAGGCTTATTATGGTATTTAATCTATTTGGAAAATGCCTTCCTCTTCATCTTCAGCCCAAAAGCTTGATATCAGGAGCGAAAAGCTTTCTGATTTTCGCTTTCGGACCTATTTGTTAGCGGAAGTAAAGAGGCCTTGTGTGCAAAGCCAAAGCAATCTATGTACATGTAGCTACATTACACATGCAAATAGGCTACTTTTAAGGACAATAATACAACAAATAAATAACAGCTATTCATATTTATTTTCTTATAATTAAGGCTAATTCACTTTTCCACTGGTGTACTTTCAGAGACAGACAACATATTGTGTTAATAACCAGGGAGGTTATAAATTAAGAATCCATTGTAAATCACTGCATAGTACATGTGGAGGACTTCATTGAAATGCACTGGAAAAAATGTAACCTGACCAGTTTTAAGCTGATGGAGAAAAGAAGCGTCCTCATGTCTGGAACTTGAGAGACTTACGTACACAATCAAAAAGAAAAGTAATACGTTTCATAAGATCTGGGGATTATAAGGTTTTATTAGTTTCCCAAAGGAAGCAGATTTAGTATCCCAGGTACCTTCTGTCAACTCTGCATTTATGTGTACCTCATGTGGATATTTGCAACATAATTTAAACACATGTGTGTGTGTGTGTGTGTGTGTGTGTATATATATATATATATATATATATATATATATATATATATATATATATATATATATATATACACAAAACATTGAGTTTCCAAAATGGTAACTTAACAGGAGAAAGAAAAAACATACTTTACTTTTAATGTAAGTCAATGGAACCAGATATTTTTCCAAGTCATTTTGGGTCGTTTCTTTTGGTCCATTCATCATGAAATTTACACACAATGTAAAGAGAAACAGGCATTTTCAAATTATGTCAAAAACTGGAAAATGACAAAAATGGAGATACAAGGTTTTCTTCTGATTATATATATATATATATATATATATATATATATATATATATATATATATATATATGTATATGTGTGTGTGTGTGTGTGTGTAGATATATATTCAGTTATTTTGTATAGGTGAATGGGTGTCTATTAAGAGTTATATATATAACATAATTGGAATTCAAAACAAGGAATACGAGAACACACACACACACATATATATATATATATATATATATATATATGTGTGTGTGTGTGTGTGTGTGTGTGTGTGTGTGTGTGTGTGTTCTCGTATTCCTTGTTTTGAATTCCAGTTATGTTGTGTAAAAAAAAAATAAATGAATATGAATAAAAAAAAAGGAACAGGAACTTGCTTATTAGTTTAAGGCAGGCATTTCGTTCATATTCAAATAAGCCTTAGTTTTCCTACCCCAGCCAGCTTTTTCCCCTTAAGTGAAATTACATCTACAGTAATGATCATTTCACCTTCTTTCTACACACACGCTGCGTTCGTCTCCTCATCAATGCAAAAAAGCATCGAAACTGCTGAACACCTTCCACACGCACTACAGTCCACAGTGGCACCAAGTTTGAAGAGTTAGTGAAGTTTGTCTTACCTGGACGAATCTTTGTTATTCCCTAGAAAAATAAACACCATCCGTTTCATTTCATTCATTTCCAGACGTTTCCTGAGGATCCGAACCCCGAATCACTTTGTAATAAATCTAACATTTTTTGCCAGACATCCACACAGATTGAAGCTAAATACTAAGTCTGCGCTCTTGATTGACAGCAGGGAAAGGGGAAAAAAGGAGAGCAGGGTGGGCTTGGATCCGTCTTTTGTGAATGCGAGTTCAATAAACGCACAGTTTACATTATTATCACTGAAAACGCTGCATGTTCAGGATGACGTGATCAGTAATCCCCGCTCGTCTGAGTAGGTATTTGTAATGCTGTGATGACTAACGCTACAACCCCACTCTCACCCCCGCGTCTGCAGAACTTGGTATCGTCCAAACCGTAGTTGAATGTTTAGCATCGTGTCCGTTCCACTGAACGGGGAAAGTGTGCCGGTCCGCCAGTGGCTCTCAATGGCTTTCAGGGCTGGTTTTCTTTGAATTTCTGGACTTTTCTACACAATTTGCACCCCGAAAACCAGCTATGGAAATCCTATGGATTGTATGGATACTCCCTTCCGCTCTGGCTCTTGAAGGTAAGGCGCTGTTTTTGCCCTCTGCTTTCTGATTGAGCAACAGCATCTTGTGGAGAGTTGCTGGCTCGCTGGTGGCTGGTTGATGTGAACATCGCGTTCGGGTACAAAAATCGCAAATTAACGCATTTTAAACCCTCATGAGGCCATAAATAAGAAGAAGTGAGCAGAATTAGCTCCGAGCGCGGGTTCTGCTGTTACAAAATCGTTGCAGGTAACGTTAAAACAGGCTGTGTGTTTTGTTTCATTCACCTTTCAGCGTTTCAGTGTTTCACTGAGGCACATTTTGTATCGACCGCTTCACTTCAGCGGGTTTTAGTCAGGATTTACGTACTAAACGCGGACTGAACGAACAACTCTGGGGGTTTTCTCTTCATCTCAGCTGTGCTGAGCGCGTACAGAGTAATGATAGAGGGCTGTGTTGGAATTAAACCCTTTTCTGAAGGGTAGACCAGTGTGTGCTGTGCCCGGTGTTTCAGTCCCCACTGCTCCCACTGTACAACAGAGCTGCTGATGCTCTGCTGCACAATGAATCACCTCAAAGCCTCAAAGCCTGGAGTTCAAATCAGCAGCACCAGTTCAGCTCAGTCTAAATTCAGTTTGCATTGAGAAAAATGCCCAGCAGGTAAGGAAAGGGGCCTGGACCTGTGGGGGGTATTTGACCTGCCGTTCGTCCCCACATCCACACGATTCCATCACTTTTAAACGGGATAAAAAAAGACCTTTCTGGTTGCTTTTTAATTTTGTCAGTGGATCACATTGAAAAGCATGACATTTTCCTGAAACGCTACACAAAGTCTGTACCTGTGCTGGACAGAGGAGGGAGGTGTGAAGAAGTGAGGTGATGTCAACATTTTTTGGGCTGAAGTTTTGGGCCTTGGCTCATATCTGCGCTGTGAACAGTACAGCACTGGGAGAAGGCGGGAGGGCCGAGTCTGCTGTGGTGGACTTTTCTTCCTCTTCTTCTTCATCTTTTTTAATTCTGCTGTATTTTTACTGTGACAGAGCAAAACACACCATATTTGCCCCTAACGCTGTTTATAAGAACTGCTAAATAGTTATACTTGACTTTGGGTTTTTCGAACAGCTCAAGCACTTTTGAGTAGAACTTCATTATTTGGAAAGAGGGCACAGCGTTTTGTCTCTGCTGAAAAACCCTTGAGCGCCTCTTGAAAGGCTAGTGAGGACTTTTTAAGGAGTTCAAATCTAGTGCAGATTGCCATGCCAACATGAAGAAGAATGATAACAAGATATTTCATTTATTTTATTTATTTTGGCTGAAAAAAATACTATTAATGATAATATGAATCTGTTATGTATTAATTTCTAAAAGCTGGACTTGAATAAAAATGAGCTGGTTGTGTTATAGCAGTGGAGTCATGGTCAGCGCTGGAGAAAGATTAGATTTATTTGCATGTATTTTTTAAGGCCTCCAGAAAGGCTGTCTGAGGCAGCAGCATGAGGCCTTAGTACGAAGCAATTTGTCATGATTTTGTTGATTGTAGGGTCTTTTAAACCTTTATTTATTTCAGATTAAAATGCAAAAATTATAAATGTAAGATATATGTATATATATATATATTTGTGGCCACCTGTAATAAAAATTCTTTTCAATGTATCTTTTAAAAATATATTTCTTTTCTCCATCCTTTTGTATTGCTTGTAAATGGAATGTTCTATTTATTTATCTTTTTTCCGTATTTTTTATTTCCCTTTTATTTCTCACAGTTCCCTTGTGATTGATATATACATATATTAATATATAATATGTATATATAAATCATATAAATATATATTATACACACACTCACACAAAATAACCAAATATTTGCAAATTCTGTAACTGAGATTTTCTCTCTTTCGCCACATTCGCGATGCTGGGCGGTGTTTTTCTTCTGCTCTGCGTCGTCCTAGCTTATTCCGACCAATGATTTTGAAGCGTTGCGCTGACGTATGAAAATTTAAGAGTTGAAAAAGAGGTCACAGTCGCTTCAGCCTTAGGAAAGAAGAAAAAACACAGGGATCCAGCACTTAAGACGGAGGACTGGAGTAGATTTGCTATCACTTTAAGCCAAGTATTACTGGTTACTACTGTAAATGATCATTAAAAGAGAAAAAAAGTCATTCAGATGTGTTTGTGTACATGAAACTGGGGACGAGACCCAGAGAAAGACTCTTGTGTCTTTTTAAATGCCGATGCTTTGTTAAAATGGCGAATATGTTTATGGGCACAATAACATTTTATGTTACAGGAAAACTTACAGACTAATCATAAAAGCCTCAGACTGATTTATATGCTTATTATGGGTTTGATGTTGTCCTGACGTTACAGACCGCCACTCCTCTAAAGCCTGAGAATCCAGCAGAGCACACGGCGAAGAGTAGAAGGCTTTTATTTAAAATCTTTTTTAAGGTCTTTTGGGCTCAAGACGTAGACGATAAGTTAATATTGTCTGTTTTTTCGGCTTTTCTCTCTTTTGGGTTCTGTCTTATAAAGTAGCTGCAGCAGAGGTCACTCTGTATATTACATTTTCGGGCCTTGGATAAAAGAATATCTGGAAAAACTGCTGATATTTGACTTTACTAATCAGATATATATGTGCTATAGATTAGATACATACTTAAAACAATATTGATGCAAATTCTAGTTGAATTAGAATTTGGTCTAATTTATTTTGTAACAATAAAAGAGAGCATTTTGTGGCTCTTAATTTCTCAAAAATATCTCCAATGAGGCCTAAATTTTGCACTAATTTTAAGTGACTTGTCTCTTAAAATCAGTCAGATTTGGCTATAATATTGTCTTTTAATGACTGTCATGTTCCAAATGTTTCTAAAGGAATGAGAAAGCACCGCTTATGTGTCTAAATACAAAGTAATCTCCAGAAAGCATCACAGTTTTGGCTGTTTATGTGTATTTTTATTTATAATCTCTCTGTTCCATTCATAAAGCTACAGCGGAGATTTATTTTGTTTACTGCGCCAGAGAAATGTGGGACAGTAGTCGTAGGAAAGACTTTGTCCCTTTTATATCCTCACCGTTGCACTTGAGTTACACTGATGGAGCAATGCTTTCATTTTGGTCGTCTCGTCTCGAGCCCACGTCTTATGATGTTTACTGATGTTGTCTCCAAAATGATTCTATCTGTAGGAGCACGGGCTGGTCGTAAATGAGTCATAGCCTACAGTTTGAGTCATGATCTAAAGCAAAGCATGTACAGTCCTTTGGAAATGTCCAGAGGCTTGAAGGTTTAAGTCATAAAACATCAACAAAAAAAGCTATAGGGATGCTGAGGCCTAGTCTTTTCCCTGTAATGTTTGCTTCATTGAAAATTCTCTTGGCAGCAGTAAAATATGTAGAAAAACTTTTCTGCTTCTCAGATGAAACAGTAAAACGCTTTTGTATATTTAAAATAGCGGATCATTTAATTCCATAATGCCATAACAGTCGTTTACTGCTTAATGCCTCTTTTGTATATAAACATGATCTGCGTTTGCGGCCGTATTTAGTCACATTCAAGTGTCATAACCTTTCAGTTACACAGAATTCTACACATTCCCATTCTACGCAAAACCACAGTGGGCCATTTATTTATTTACGATGCGTTTCGAGGCGCAGCTTTATGATCTATTTCTATAATGCTGTGTGAGAGCGAGGGATGATTAAAGCTATTGTTTGTTAACGTAGCTGTTTTCGGCCAGATATCAACACTTCCGTTCCGAAATGCCTGCCAAGTTTGAATAATCTGCTTTCAGATGTAAATGCAAGGCAGCCTACTTCCAGCCATACTCGGAGTGTGGGCTGCCTACACATTGCATTACAGTTTTTTGGAAGGGTAACAAAAGGCCGAGGGCTGTGTGTGCGTGGAGGGGGTTGGTTTCTGAAACGGGATTAGATAAAGGTAAAAAACGGGCGGTCGCTCACAATCCTGTGTTTTCTCAGTCGGCCGAACGAGCAGATGCGGCGTGCTCGTCTGCCAGCCTCCGCAGAGCCTCCACAGAGCCTCCACAGTGGCTTTCACAAAGAATCCGCTCCCATTCAGCCCCCTAATCCACGCTGCCCGGGGCTCGGCCATTGTCACTTTGCATGCAAAATTTCAATTAGTGCTGGTACCAGTTGTTTCTCTGGCGAGCGAGTGTCCAGTTTCGGAGGGACGCTCATAGGCCACCTTGGCCAGGCAGTAAATTTGGGATTGTGGACGGACTTATGGGAAGGACGCCGTTTCTGTGACGACGTGGCCTCTGTTTCCACGCTCAAAAAATGAACCAAGGGGGTCGTTTGACTTACAAACGAACATTAATTGCTGCTGCATTTTATGTTGAGACAACAAAGTCTGTATATGCTGACTGTGCTGTATTGGATTGAATGGCTTAGTCAAATTAGGTTTATAGAGCGATTTTGCACAGTTTAGCGTCTCTTCTGGCTCGTATTTACTTGTTTTTTTAGACTGTATCAGAGAATTATCTGCTGTTTAGGCTATTTTAGCCAAACTAGTCAGAGTGCACATTTGCTGAAAAGTGTATCTTATGCCCAGTAGGGGGCGATAATAAATATTGCATGTCTTTGAAAGGGAAATATATTTTTTTTTCTTCGAAATGTCTGTGTTGCTCTGTTATTGAGATCAGAACGGTGGTGGTGACGGGAACCAGTGAGTATGATGTCTACATGTCTACAATGCAAATGTAGCTATTTTATTTACTATCCAAAATGACCAGTAAACCTAAATGTGTCTTCAGAGATTGTATATATAATATTGATGATGGTAAAATAGTTGGAAATCTGGGGTGGGGGGGGGGTGGGGGGGATAATATATAAAATATAAAAAAAGCCTAAAGCTTTTCATCAAACTATAGGAAAAGAATGTCTCCGGCCTCAGACAGTGCATTTGTACCATTTAAAGTGTAATAGGTTTCTGTGGGGGAGCTTTCAGAGGCAGTGAACCCTTCAGACGTCTGGTTCCTATCACCACCACTGTGAAGAATTCTGTAAATTTCTCCAGAGC